AGATAGTCTTTTCAAGACACAGTGCTGAAACAACTGGACATCCACATGTGAAAAAACTATGTTATATACACAGACACAGACCTTACATCCTTCATAAAAATTAATTCAAAATGTGGGGTACCTGGGAGGTTCAGTGTGTTAAAGCCACTGCCTTTGGCTCAGGTCATGATCTCAGGGTCCTGGGATCAAGCCCCGCATCGGGCTCTCTGCCCAGTGGGGAGTCTGCTTCCCTTCCTTTCTCTCTGCCTGCCTCTCTACCTATTTGTGATCTCTGTCTGTCAAATAAATAAATAAAATCTTAAAAAAAAATTAACTCAAAATGTATTACATACCTAAATACAAAATGCTACAAAACTATAAAACTCCTAGGAGATAAAATAGGACAAAATCCAGATGACCTTGGGAATTATGAAAACTTTTTAAATAAAACACTAAAGGCACAATCCATGAAATAAATCATTGATGAACTGGAACTCAATAAAAGTAAGAACTTCTGTTCTGTAAAAGACACTGTTAAGAGAATGAGAAGTCCAGTCACAGAGTTGGAGATATTATTTATAAAATACATATCTGATAAACAACTGTTCTTCAAACTATAAGAGAATTTTTAAAACAATAACAACAAGAAATGATAAGAACAACAAGAAAGTGAACAACCAAATTAAGAAATGGGCAAAAAATCTGAACAGGCATCTCACCAAAGAAGAGATATAGTTGGCAAATAAGCATATGAAAAATGTTCAACATCATTAGGGAACTGTAATTAAAACAACAATTAGATTCTGCTACACACCTATAATAATGGTGAAATTTCAAAACATTGACATTGACAAATGCTGCTGAGGATGTGGAACAACAGGATAATTTCACTCATTTCTGGAGGTGAAGCAAACTGGTACAGCCACTTTGGAAGAGAGTTTGATGTTTTCTTACATAGCATAGTTTTACAGTATGATCCAGCAATTGTACTCCTTCATATTTATCTAAATTGGTTGAAAATATGTTTTTATAAAAAACCTGCAGACAGATGTTTATAGCAGCTTTATTCGTAATTGCTAAAAATTGGAAACATCCAAGATGCTCTTCAGTAGGAGAATAGATAAAGAAACTGTGACCCATCCAGAATATGGACTATTCCTCAGAGTTAAAAAGAAATGCATTCTCAAACCATGAAAACACATAAATGCATATTACTAAAAAGAGAAAAAAGAAAGAGATCAATCTGAAAAGACTACACACTGTGTAAGTTTGTCTCTATGACATTCCGGAAAAGCAGAACTTACAGAGACAGTGAAAACATCAGTGATTCTCAGAGGTTAGTAGGGAGGGAAGGAGGAACACAAAGGATTTTGAGAGCAGTGAAACTCTCCTGCATATGACTATAATAGGGGATATGTCATATACTTGCTAAATCTCAAAGAATGTACAATACTCAAAGTGAACCTCAATGTAAACTCTAGTATCAACTAACACTATGGTTGATACTGATGTGTCAAAGGAAGTCCATCAATTGTAAAAAATGTACAGATGGTGGAGGATATTGATAATGAGGGAGGCAATGTCTTTGTGGGTGCAGAGAGTATATGGAATATACCCATACCTTCCGTTCAATTTTGTGGTGAGCCTTAAATTTAAAAAATAAAGTTTATTAAAATATAAGAATACCCTCTTGCATTGTTGGTAGAAATGCAAACTGCTGCAGCCATTCTGGAAAACAGTATGGAAGTGCCTCAACAAGTTAAAAATAGAACTACCCTATAATGTAGCAATTGCACTTCTAGGTATTTATCCAAAGGATATAGAAATAGAGCCTCAAAGGGGTACATGCACCCAGATGTCTATATTAACATTACCAATAATGGTCAAACTATGGAAAGAGCCCAACTATCCATCAACCCTATAATGTAGCAATTGCACTTCTAGGTATTTATCCAAAGGATATAGAAATAGAGCCTCAAAGGGGTACATGCACCCAGATGTCTATACTAACATTACCAATAATGGTCAAACTATGGAAAGAGCCCAACTATCCATCAAC